CAGCGCCTGAAATGGCAGGGTCAATGTTATTCTGATCTCGCGGACTCGTGATATTGGGTTGCATATGCGGAGGCGGTGCTGTCTGCGGTTGCGGGCGCGGTTGCTGTGGGTGAGACATATGTTGATGAGCAGCTAGCAGCTGATCATGCAGCACTGGTACAGATGTAGCATTAGCATTCGAGTCTCGCGAGTCAAGGTAACTAGTTTGGCGACATTGGCCGTCAACAGACGCGCCCGTCGAGTCGATACCAGCTACGCGAGAATTTTTCCGGTCGCCATAGCTCATGTATCGACTCAACTCTAATACCGGGTCAAGAGGTAAGAGCTTACCCTGATCCGCATGATCCTATGAGACAGATCAATGTTAGCATCATCACCACTGTTGATGATTCAGGTGATCGTCGCGACGCGACCGGGGAGGCGCTGAAGACAGTCGCGTCGTCGATTCTTGGGTGTAGCCGCCATCGTGGACCCAAATCGCAGCCGAAGCGACCGTGAGAACGAACAGAACAAGGTCCGATGTCTACAAGCAGAGCACTCGGGAACGATCTGGGGCAATGGGTGGATGGGACAAACGCGATCTGATGACAAACCGCGACACGATTAGGCTGCTTACCTGAGCAGAGGTTTGCATGCTTGGATGCGGCGCTGGAGCTAGTGTGGGCTGCATCGAGAGTATAGGATTCGAAAACAACGAGGACGCGCCCAAACAGAACAAAAGATCACCAATTCGAGTCGGGCAAGGGGGCCGTCGAACAGCTCAGCCTGTATAGAAGTCCTGGTCTCTTAAGAAGGGAGAGAGGATGTAGAGAATGACAAGGGAAACGGAGGAGAGGGAGAGGATGAGGTAAGCAGACGACGTCGGAGATAGCTTTCCTGGGAAGTGGAAGCTAGCGCTAGTTAATACTGGTGAGGTACAAGTTATGTCCGTTTCGCTTTGATAGTCCAAATGCTGACTATTACTGGCGTTGAATAAACCTGGGGGAAAGGGAAGGGAGGGGAGGACTGATCTCGTAAGCAAGTGAGAGTGGAAGGGGGGGGGAGGCGATTAGTTAAAGTATCAGTCAGACGGTGACGTGTAGGACGGAGGGAGGGAGAGAGGGAGGAGGGAAAGGAAGGGAAGGGAAGGAAAAGGTCACCAACAATTGTTGAACATCTCCCCCCCGGCAGTCCCCCGGGTAGGAGCTGGAATCCGGTGAATTACAATTGCCTCAGGTGTCCAAGCCACATTCCGGCGCTCAAGACTCGACTCACTCGAGTGCGTACGCCCGGAATAGACTAATTTCCTATTTGGTTTATTTGGTTCTTGGCGCGATTACTCAACCTCCGACCATGATTGATGTGATGACTAGACGACTCCAACTTGTATGTACAGTACCTAAAGATTCCTAGTGACTACGGAGTATATGGCCTGGTATCTGACAACTACTAAGATATTAGCCTGCTTCATAGGCTCATTCGATGATTTCTCCCTATTGTCACTGTAACTATTCTTATTCTTGTTCTTGGTTCGCGCCAACATTGCTGACAAAGCCGCCCATCATCCCCTCGGTCTGATGACTGATCCGGCATGCCTGGGCTGACTCATCCACAGCCGGCGTGTTTCTGGGCTTGCATTAAGGCTGTGGATTGTCACAATGCAGAGCAGTTTGACAAAGTGGTGCAACCACCCTGAACCAATGGTCACAGTCGCAAATGATGGCGTTATCCTTTTTCAATGGGCACTATTGACGGGCACCCTCGGTGTGCTATCTCCGAGGCTTCCGTCGGAGTTTCGGCATCGGAACGCCGACACCTGTGAACCCAATCACCATCCTCATTGTTCTTACAGTTGATAAGTGAAGATCGCCAGCCAGTGGATCAACTTGACCGTTTATTTGCGGATATCTTTGCAAATCTAGTTCAGTTGACATAGAACGAGTGAATACTGTTCAATAATGCTAACCTTCATATACAGCAGATAGATATGTACAGAATACAGTTGTTCATGAAACTAATAAACAAAGATATGAACTCGTCACTTGACCTCAACAAGATATGAACTGTATATGAACAATATCATTCATACTCGGTAACTGTCAGGCAGCACAAGCATCATTGTACACAACTGAGTCTAAGGACCGAAGAAGAAGCCGCCCTCTCACTGCTGCTTCTTGGCGTTCGAATCTCTCTTGAGCGTCTTGATGATTGTCGCGCCGACTTGGGAGGATTCCTTCCACCCTTTCTGCCGCATCCAGAACCGCTCCGCGGGATCCGTGTCATGGGTCGCCCAGGAACGAGCGTCGTCCTCCAGGGTATCACGAGTCAGCTGAGAAAGCTGCTCCGATTGGTCTTCTTTCTCGTCGACATCGATCTCATCGTCACTGCTTCGGGCTCCAACCGTGGACTCAAGATACCTCTTCCGCACCAGGTACCGCTCGGTCTTCTCTTTCCGCACATTTGGGGGCTCAAGCTTGGCCATGGCCGCTCGCACTGCATAGCGCACGATGAGATAGATATGCTCGCAGAAGAAAATGGTCAGAAGCAAGGCCCATCCTTTGATCGTGTTCGGCTCGCCACCGGGTCCCTCGTGGCTAGTGCTGAACATGTACGCGAGTGCTGCAGTAGTAATGCTACCGACCCACGACAGGAACCCAAGGCTGTCCAACCAGGGGCCAATTGTTTCTGCGCGTTGCGGCCAGGGTCTCTTGCACTCGACGCAGATCTTAAAGAAGTCGGACCGGAGTTCAATCCAGTTATTGATCAGGAAAGAAACGGGGACCAGCGGCCAGACCGGAGAGAATAGAGCCAAGTAACCAAATTGAATGCACATTTCGCGCAGATCGTCGGTCACATCATAGTCAGACAAATCGGCCTCATTGCGGACGCGAATGAGGAACTTGGTCTCATCGGGATGGTCGTCGAACAAAGCCTCGGGCGATTCCTCTTCTTCAGAACTTGATTCCAACTCAACCTTTCCGTTCTTCTTGCGAAGGTAGTCTTTGTATTCTCGTAGAAGACGCTGCTTCAGAAAAGGTACGACGGTCTCCATGGCGAAGCCGACTACCTGAGCCGTGACGGTGAAATAGATGACTTGCTTCCGTAGGCGGTCGGGGTCCATGCTGAATTCAGTACGTGACTTCGTAGCAACCTCTTTCGAGACAAATGGACGAACAGTCACCTGGAAAATGTCAAGGTGTGGCACAATCCGGCTAGCGAAGGGTACATAAACAAAGGCCGTTAAGAATACAGGGAGGTATGACGTGATAAAGTTGATAACGAAGATTTTCTGCGTCAGGGCAACATCGTAAGCTTGTTGTGTTTCGTAGTTTTCGTAATCGTTCAGCTTGGTCGCAACCGACACCAAGACCGTACTCATCGTCGGGATCAAGGCCGAGAGCAGGATAGTGGGAATGAAGACCTGATCCGTCAGCTTGATTCAACGAGGTAACAGTGGGGTACTAGCGAAGCCTACCAAGTACGACTTGAGTGGTCCATTATAGATCTCAGAGATGAAGATCTCGATGGCGAAGCATGTCGCGATAATAACTCCCAGAGCGATGATGGACAGCAAGGCGAAAGGGACCTGGAGCAACTGTCTGCACATGCGCGTCGTTGCTGGAAACACGCCCTTGATTTCTCCGGTACTCTCGTCCCGGATCTCTCTTTCTGGCCTAAACTCGCGCCGTTTCTCGCGGACGGCGGAAACTCCTTTACTCTGCCATCGACAACTCAGGTCCTCCTCCTGTCGTTTCCAGTATTCGATAAACACGATGCACCAGAGGCAGTTGACCACGGAGTAGACGATTGAGAATGACCCAATCAGAAGCCAGCAGGAAAAGCCAAAGATCGCGGGGAACAGGAGGAATCTGAAGTAAGACTGAAGGAACGAGAAGTAAAAGCCGACCTAGAGATCCGCACGACTGTCAGTTCCCAGACGCTGTACCCGAGCATCGAATCCGTGAGGGGTACCCACACTCTCTCCAAAGATATTTCGTATCTGATCTAGATCCTCCGGGGACAGGAACGTCTTCTGGCTCCAGTCTTTCATGCACTGCTTGTTCATCTCCTCGTCATGCAAGGGAAAGATCGAATCCACGTTCTTCCACTCGCCATGTTTCGGGGTGATGCCAGCGCCGCCAGCCTCCTTGGGCACGGTCATCATGTGGTAGATGACGCGCAGTCGCTCCGACTCGGACTGCGGCTCGGCCGAGGATTCTGACTCGGGCTCAGTGTTGCGGACGCCATAGAGCCAGTCGCGGATTCTGAGATAAGGTTGCAGACGCCACAGTAAGCGAAAAGTCCTTCATAGAGAGATGCGCAGGTAGAGGACTCACCGAGACTGATACACTGCGCGTTGGAGGCTCTTCTTTCGCGCAGCGCGGACAAAGACCAGCAGAGATGTTTCGTCGCCCTGCCTCACTTCGGTTTGCAATCCAACTTCAAACAGCTTATGCAGCAGTCGTTCTAGTTGCTCCGTAGTCTGAACGATGTCTATACTGGGTCAGGGCGGGAAAACTCAATGGTAGTAGCCAGCCAGGTACAGTGGCGCCCTTACCGTTGTCGCCAAAGTTATAACGAATGACGTAGTCGACATAGTGGTTATTATGCACGGGATCCCGAGGAGTTGTGGAAGCCATATCAAAAGGAGATTCAAGCTTCAAGTCATCCGTGCGATGGAATAGGGTGATGAGCTCTTCTCCCAGAGATGGCCGCTGCTTGAAGCTTTTATCAGGGGATGTTTGGGGGGGTTTCGTCCGCCCGCGATGACGACGTCACCTTCGAAGCTTGACTGTAGGGTTAGCCCTGGGCGGTGGCTTGGAGCCTTGGACCCTCCCCCCTCCGTCACTATGCATTCATCTGCCGTCTGGATCGACCCGATCGTCAATTGTCTAAGATCTGGATTCTACTCTCGTGGTCGCATGATACAAAGAACTTCCTCGATTTCCGTAACCTACATACTAATTGTTGAGTGCCAAGAATTCTATTCTGCATATCGCTCAAAAGGAAATCCTCTCTTGGGGGTATTTTAATGTATGTACATGTCCAGCGATTGAAAAAAAAATATAACCGAGGAGTCGAGTTCCAGTCCTTCCTGCTGATAGCCCTGGAAAAGCAACTCTTCGGAAAAGTCGACCAGCGCAAACCCCGACACGAGCAGCAAACACTTGGTGACATAACGTGTCAGAAGGGCATTGGCGTGTGTCCTCCCAAGGCCAGATGATTCACAAACCAGAGTCAAAACTCGCGCGATCAGATTCCTTCCGCAAGCTTGTTCAAAGCGGGTCCCTCCATCATCATCTTCGTCCACTCATCCATCGCATTGGCGCCTACCTGCTCGTAGAACTTGATGCTGGGCTCGTTCCACTTGAGGACGCTCCATTCGAGCCGTCTGCCGTTGACCTCCAGGACCTTGGCCGCCAGGTACTTGAGGAGCTTGAAGCCGTATCCGTTGCCGCGCGCGCTGGGCTGTACGTAGAGGTCCTCGAGGTAAATGCCCGGAGCGGAGCGCCAGGTGGAGTAGTTGTAGAAGAAAAGGGCCATGCCCACTGGCAGGGGGTTGGGCTGCTCCGCGGTTGCAGGAGGGATGACGAGCGCAGTGTAGACAGAGCCTCGCTTCGGAGTCGAGTCGGGAAAAGACAGAGTCGCTAGGAGAGACTCCTCGGTGGCCTCGACTTCGTGAAGAGCCTTCTCGTAGTCGGCAAGCTCGCGGATGAATTGAAGGATGATGGGGACGTCTGCATTGCTCCGGTCAGTAAGGATGTAGCCTGGCATGGTCAGTGAGGGAATCAGCAGGCCTACCCTCGGGCGTCGCGAGACGAATTGTAGGTTGGGCAGACATTGTGCGGAATGAGGAGTGCAAGATAAGGTATCAGGAAATAATTGAATTGGGGGATGTAGCTATGAGGAAAGCCAATGTCCTTCTTATACCTGTGTCTCCGACTTCCCCGAATTCGAAGACCCGCCTAGACCGATGGGTCTTTTCCCCACCACAGCCGTATAGAGGCTGGCTCTCTTTGGCTGGAACTCCACGCCTTACGGACTTCCACGCCTTACCTTTGACTTTGCGGTGTCCCAAGTGACTCAGAGAGCGCGCGCAATTATGCGCTTAGGAATTGAATAGAAGGATAAAGAAGACAAAGGGTGAGGGAGGTATAGTATGTGTTTTCGAAGAGATATACGCGACTATGTACAGTTACAAATATGTGCTTGAAGGCTACCGGAGCATTTATTTGGAGGAAATGGCCGACATCCATTTCTGCTCGTCCGTTCTGTGACAGGTTAGCTGATGATAAAGAAAGCAAAAGAATATACATGATACTAACCGATCAAAGTGCAGCAGCATGCCAAGAACAGGAATCAGCTGCTTCTGATAGTTCTTATCCTTCTGCTCCAGGAATTGGAGAAGGACATTCTTCAGATAAATGTAATCAATGGACCCTGCTCCAACTCCAGTGGGCGTGCCGCTGCGTGTCGATGGACTGTGCTCCTTCGCAACTGGGGAGGTAATGGTTCTTCTAGAGCCAGAATCGATAGAGGACCGTGACGACTGTGCAGTGTGACCGAAGCGACCTTCATCCGGGAGCAGCTTGTTCGATTTACGCATCTTCTCCAAACGGGAGTTTGTTTCCTCGACGGAGCGGCGCAGCTCGGCTTTCTCCTTCTCGAGGTCGCGCACCTGCTTTTCGCTTTCATCCAGCGAATCGCGCAGACCTGCCATGGCCTGTCGCAGATCGACAAGCTCCTGGGTCGTCTTCTCAGATTCAGCCTCCAGTTGATCCCGTCTACGTTTCCAATCCTTCTGGGTTTGCTCCAGTTCCTCTTTATCCTGCTCCGCACTGCGCAGAGCTCGCTCGGCTTCGCGTAGCTTACTTTTCAAGTCTTCCAGCTCACGCGCACGGCGTCGACCCTGAGCACTGGCTTCATCCTCGGCGCGATCCCGCTCCTCAATGGCGGCTTCCATACGTTCCTTGAACTCGCGCACCTTGGCATCGGTGCGACTTTCGATGTCGTTCAGAAGACGTCGCATGGTCTCTCCTTCGCGAGTGCGTTCGCTCAGCAGCCGGTGAGCATCCGCTAGTTCTTCTTCGAGACTTTCGCAGCGTTCGCGAGCCTCCTTCATCTGCATACCCAATTCAGCAGCTTGGTCGCGCATACTGTTCATCAAACTTTGAGCACTAGCGTGCTGGGCAGTCTTGAGTTGAATCTCCTCCCGCAGGCCTTGGAGTTCCTTGTCAATCTGACTGGCCTGGGACTCGCTCTCGCGGAGCCTGGCGCGGGCGGTTTTCAGCTCCCCTTGAGTCTTAGATAGTTCTGAGGTGACCTTCTCCTTAGCCTCCGTAGCTTCCTGCTTCTTACTCTCCGAGTACCTCAGGTCAGACTGGGCGACTGTCAATTTCTCCTCGGCTTTGAGCCTATTGTCGGTTTCCTGCTTGATCTTATTATTGAGGGTCTTCACTTCCTTCTCTCGCTCAGACACCGTGCTCTTCAAAGTCTTGAGTTCGGCCCGCAGGTCATCGTGTTTGCTTTCCAGAGTTCTTAGTTCATTCGTCTTGCTTGTGAGTGAATCCTTGGTGGACTTGAGCTCTGAAGATTCGGCGCGCAGCTTCTTCAGCTCTGGCTGGAGTTTCTGAAGGGTCTCGCGCAAATCCGTGATGTCTTTGAACCTCGTGGCAGCCAATTGTTGAGCAGCAGAAAGCTCAGTCTCGAGTGTTGTGAGCTTGATCTTGATATTCTCGTACTTCTCCTTGAGATCATTATGCGCTTTCTCCGAATCCGCACTTTGAGACGCATGAGACGCGATGTTCGTGCGCAGATCCGTCAACTCCTTCTCCAGCTTAGCAATGGATTCCTCCAGAGCTTGCTTCTCCGCGGTCAGCACCTTCACCTTATCCTTCGACTCCACATGCTCTTGACCTATGTGAAGCAGGTCATCACGGAGGGACTCGATCTCCTCCTTCAGGTCCTCCTCGCCCTTGAGCTTCGAGCTAAGACGGTCGATAGCGGCATCCTTCTCGTCCAGCTGCTTCTTCAGTGTATCGATACTTTCTTCCAGCTCAGCCACCTTCGCTGTCAATTGTGCAGAAGCAGGTTCCGCGCTTGGCGACGAATCCCGGTCAGCTTCCGTTGCTTTGCTAGCCTCTTCGCCGCCCTTAGCACCGCCAGCCCCTCCCTTCTTCTTTTTCTTGTTCTTCTTTTTACCACTTCCCGCAGCGCTTGGTGGGTTTGCGGCTGGCTTTGCAGTCTCTGTCGACTCCTGCTGAGCTTCAGTGGCGCTAGGGCTAGGAGCTAAGCTCTCACGAAGTTCATCGAAATTAGCTTGCTTGCCGCCAATGACTTGTTCCTTGGTCAATTGCCATGTGACATTGCCTTCCAAGTTAGTGTCGAGGAAGTCAACGACTTTTTGTAATTGCAGGTTGTTCTCCTTCTTCTGCTCAGCATCGGCCTTCAGTTTCGTCATTGCCTCTTCGCTCTCCTTCAGCTGGGATCGGAGGCTGTCGACCAGTCCCTGCAGTACACTGAGACGTTTCTCATTAGCCTCCTTCATCTGCTCCATCTTTTCCAACTTGGCAGTAAGATCGGCATCCTTTCCGGCAGCAGGGGATGGCGAGGCCTGAGCTTGCAGTTTCTCGATTTCCTCGGTCCGTTCTGTCAAATCAGACTTCAGTTTCTCAATCTCCGCGCTGGTCTTCGATGCCATTTCTTCGGACTTCTCAAGCTTGGCTTTCAGATCGTCAAGCTCTCCTTGCTTGGAAGACTTCAGCTTCTCGAGTTCTGTGTCCTGCTTGTCCTTGAAATCACGCAGTTCTGTGAGCTCTCGGGTTGCGGATTCTAAGTTGTGAACCATGCCCTCGGTGGACTCACGCGCCACTGCTAGATCACGCTTCAGCGACTCCATTTGAGTCTTCATGGACTCAATTTCCTCCTGCTTTTCTTTCAGCTCTGACTCCAGACGGGGGATCTCGCTATCGTAGGAGAAGAACTCTTCACTATCACCTTGATGTTCAGCCGACTTCTTCGGTGATGCGGTGGTCACTGCAGTGTCCTCCTTCGTAGACTTCTCCTCAGACTTCGCGACCGACTCATTGGCGTCCGAGGCTTTTTCTTTCGATTCCTTCTCGGCCTTGAGTTGCGCAGCCTCATCCAATGCAGCCTTGGTTGCCTTTTGAGCCTCTTCCAGTTTCTTCTTGTAGTCGTCCCTCTCGGTGGTCACACGCTTGAGCTCCTCCACCACCATATCTCCCTTCAGCGACAGCTGGTTCAAGTACTCGGTCAGGGCCTTCGGTTCGCCGATCGAAGTCAAGGGGGTGTTTTCACGAAGAGCAGCTTCAAAGGGTTCGATAGAAAGGACTCGCGAGTGTGCCATGCGATAGGCTTTGAGAAGCTCTAATCATCACCAAAACACCACATTAGTCTGCGTCGTCAAAAAGCTCCCCCCGCGTGTATTGCGCTGCATACCTTGGTAACGGGGTTCCAACTTGGCCAGCCGCCGCAGCTTGACCCGAACCTCTGGAGGCAGATCCGAGGTGGAGGAGGACTGGTTGTTGTTGTTGCCTTCCGCATTTGCCGGCGTGGACTCCTTCTCCGTTGCGGGCCCCTCCTGCCCTTGGCCCTCTCCGGCTGCAGCATTGTTGCCCTCCGGAGCGGCCTCGGAGCCTCCTCCGGCTGCTGCCTCAGGTCGCGGCGTGCCCGATCTACTCGAGGAGTCATCATCCCCAATGGCGAACTCGGGCTCGAATTCATTGGGGTCGGGGCCCCGGATGGGGGTGCCGGTGTTGCGGCGCGGGCGGCCAGAGCGGCGGGATGGGGAGGTGGTGGTGCGGTTCGAAGGTTGGCGGGCGGAGTTGGAGCGGGAGATGGAGGTTTGGGCGGTGCGTTGACGGGCTTGCTCCTCGGCAATCCGCGAGTCGATCGCGTCGCGCAAACGCTGTGTTGTCACCAAGACGGTATGATTAGCACGAGCAGGAGGTGCACGAGGGGTGTGCCTGATTCGGAGCGGGAGACGATATGAGGTGTTGTTACCTGAAACATGGCCGAAGCGGGCCTGTGAGCCAAGGCCACGGCAAAGTTGAGAAAGGAGAGACAGAGGAGGAGAATGCGACCGAGGAGGATAATACAGAGGAATGAACGAAAGAGAGGGAAGAAGGGGAGGGACAGCATCTAGGGACGGGCTGGGGAGATTCCGCAGCAGGCGGCGGCGGTGGAGGCTCATACGCGGCAGCGGCAGTTCCAGTTGTTCAATGGGCTTTCTTGCTGGCACGGGCGGCCAGGGCGGGCGGAAACGGGCAGCAAAAAGGACTCAAGGGCTCAAGGGTGATTATGTGCCGGTTCGGGGTGACAATCGCAGCAGGACAGTAACTTGGACATCTTACGTGATGTTTGATCTATTGCATGAAGAGACTTTGGTTCTACGCAGAGCTTACATTGGCTCTTCGAGATCATATACATTAGCTCTTGGAGTGATAATAATTCGATATGAATCTTTCCTATCACGGAATATATATTGTTACGAAGCTCGAAGTCTTTCGCTGTTGACTTTTTGTTTGATTACATAATTGGATGAAGATAGTTCTTCGTAGCTATTGGGAGTTGTGTGAGGTCCGTTTACTTCATTGCATTGCCATACTTGAGAATAGTGACACTGAGTTGAGCAGTGCCTCAGGTAAGAGATAATGAGTTTGGTAACTTACAAGCAACTTGCTCATACTAACTCGCAGAAGTCTGGACCATCTCCGAGGTTCATCAGAAACATGGACGGGGCGCTACCACTAAGACCAACGCGGTTAAGGGCGGTTCTTCCCCTTCCTTTCCCTTCTTTTCCATCTTGTGATAGACCAGCCACAACCAACTCCCAGCCCACGTTGTTCTTGACTTGC